GTGTATTTTGAACACAGGAAACACAGTGTGGAATTCACATAATAGCCCACAGCGTGAACACATGCTGTGACCAGGTGTTTTTTCTCCATGGTACTTCTTTTCCAGTTATTCTCTCATATATACAAATACTGTTTATAGGGTCTTCGTTGTTTGCGCTTGCTAAAGTTCGCCATGGCAGGTAGATATTTCCCTCTCTGTGTATCAGGTACGCGGTGGGAGAGTGTTTGTCGCGTACCTAGTCCCTTACAAAAAAAAAGTCCTATAGGATCCTATAGGCCAAAGTTGTATAGGTTTGTATAGGTTTTTCGTCAATAGGTTCCTATGGATTCTAATCCTATAGAATCCTATAGATAGATAGTGTGGTTCTTTCTGAAATTTATAGCCAATCTTCTCATACTCAATTCAATTTTTGTAAATGAAATTCTCGAATTTCTGGTACTCAGTTCAATTACTGTACAGTTTTATCAGGAAAGTGGCTATGAAAATGACAATTTCTTTTATTTCTTTGAACAAAAAATAATAAAGTATTGTAATAAATGTTTAAGCAATCATAGAGAATGTGAACTTCCAGATGCGTAATGCTTATAAATAAAACACCCCATTACTAAAATAAATACCTCAGTATCATAAAGTTAATTAAGGTATTCTGAATAAACATTGTACGGTATATAATATCTGCAAAATTTAATTATGCTACCAATTACCAATTCACAGAAAGATCAACTGAAGTTCAAAAATTAGTGTTATATCTGTAGTGTGTCTAGTTTAAGGTGTAGATGGTTTCTTAAGAACAAGGCCTGGTGAAAAGGCGGTGAACGTATTTCGTCCTCCCCTCCTCCTGGTTATCTGTAGGCCTCACAGGCGGCATATACTAGTGCAGTCTATGCCTACCAGAATACATACTGCAGCAGTTAATACATATTTACTGTTTGGTCCATTCAAACGATAGATCTTGGTCAGAAATGCATAATCTCCAAAAAAGAAGAGACGAATTTTCCGTTCTCTGCAAAAATATTATTCAATATACGAGGTCAAGGAAGATTCTGTAAAAATAAATATCTCTTGTTCCTACATTATAATCATGTATACTTCATGTAAATATATGACACTGACAGCACTTTAATAACAACAATGTTTGGATATTAGCCATTATTTCTCTTCAAGATAGAGATGTTGCTTGAAGTATAGAAATTCCAAATTTCCAGTGTCCTTGATGGTCACAACTGTGTCTACTACTTTGATCCCATATGTAGCAGCTGTGCTACGGAAGTAGACGGAAATGTTCTTGCTCTCTAGATTGTCATCAGCGATTGACGATTGCCTTTCTCGCATCTTTCTTACCCAAGCAATTGTGAATTTACTTACATATCTAAAAAGAGACATATGCTTCATATAAATTAACATGTTTTTTTTTATCTAATTGATTTGTACTGTACATTACCTCCTCAGTTTACAAAGTTGCTCTCAGGCAATTTGTATGGGAACCGCTAATATGGCTAGTGAATCGTCGACGGAGATATGTTGTGGAGTTGTATTAGCAGCAGACATTTACATTGAGATATCTAATTGCTGAATTTCATGTACTTGTTGCACTTTGTCATCCTGGCTGCTTATTTGCGCGAATCTAAAGCGTGGCTTCATGCGCATTCACATTTTCAACGGCCAAATGTTTTATTTAGACGAATTCTGTTCCTTGAGTTCTTCACTTCCTTCCTTGTCTGATTGGTTGTGCATGTTTTCGCTTCACAAAGAGAAACAGCGTGAACTATTGATTTCGCTGAAGTGAAAACCTTCAATAGAACGTGTGAATGCGCATGCAAAACAGGCTTTACTGAAACCTCTCTGCTAGAATTCACCGGCCATTATTCACCATTTTGTTTAATATTTGTACATGTAGGAAAATCTATGAAAATTCAAGGCGTTGAACAAAATGTGCTGCATATCCACTGTGTGCCG